ATATATATTTACAAACTTGCATCTTGCATAATCTTAAAGTATTTACCTATCTGCACAGATATTTTTTATGCCGCAGAAATACTGTTTATATTTTCCCCCTGAAACATTTCAGTCAGATTCAGTCAAATCTGAGAAAACGGCGCAATTTCTAATAAAACTCTACTACTCTCTTAGGGGACATTGCATGGGACAGTCCAGTCCTCCTGGGGTCAGCAAAGAGATAGAGAGAAAAAAAAAACCCTAATTATGCTATTTATCCGGCTGATGTGTCGCAATCACTGTTCACACACACTCTGTCAGATTAAAAATAGAAGGCCCAAATAGAGGACATTAAGGCTAAGGGAATTATATAAACCTCAGGGGAGATTTCAAACTGAAGAAGGGGAAAGTAAACTATAGCGATTAATGGCAGCCATAAACAAGAGCAGCCTGTCCCACCCTATTAGAGGTCAACAGTATCCCCAATAATAATGATAATAAAGGTAATTATACATATATTATACATATATGAAATAGGGCCTTCTTATGTTTGGTATAGAACCGTTTCAATACATGACAATAATAATAATATTAGTAATAATAATAATGATATAATCATCATCACAAAAAAAATTACTTTTTCCTTCTTATTAAGTTATTTTTTTCTTCTACACAGTTCCATCTTTGATTTCAAAAAATTAAAAAAATGTTTGAAAAAATTGTATTGCATTTTATAAAAGTAATTTTTTCTTCATTTGTGTTCTTAATGTCGTTTAGGTATGTATGTATGTATTATTATTGTTGTTGTTGTTGTTGTCATTGTTATTTTTTGTATAGCCGCTTGCCAAATTTCCTTCAAATTAGCTATAATCCTTATAATAACTGTGACAATTGTATGTGGCCATTGGCTTCACTTCTTTTTTTCCCCCTTTCCTTTTTCTTTTCCTTTTTTTTCTTCCATCAGGCCATTTGATCGGGGATGGGTCTCTGTGACGGATTAGCCGAGTCCCCCCTGAAATTAGGAGCAAGTGTGACACCTACCTGCAGAAGTTGGAAGAGTTAGCGAGCAGTGCCTTGCTACAGGCTACACGCTATCATAATATCCTTCTGCATCTGCTGTGTGCATGACAGCATTCTCGCTTTACTTCAAACTAATGTTTCACATCTAACGCGCTATTAAAGAGGCTCTCCATTAATGATATATAATAGGGCAGTATGTTCTAAATGCATCGCCGCGTCCCTTTTAACAGCTTTGCCACGCCTTTGGAAAATAGCAATGAGGTCTAAATTTGGCATAAAATCGAGCTCATTACGGAGTTCACCACCTGATTGCTCTGCATAAAACACGGGAGGTAATTGGGTTAAATGAGTGGTCCTTGGTATTGTTATTATATATCAATGTCCACATTTAGAAGTCTGCTCAAGAAAAGGGGAAAAAATGAGGCCTTGTGAGCATTTCCAAGAAAAGAAAAAAAGACACAAGTCTCAGATTAAACTGTAAGTGTTTTGCTCGAATCGTTCTTTTTTTCATTCGTTGAAACTCTATGAAAATGTGCCAAAATAAAATGGCTCTTTATGTCAGATATTCCAACATCGTTTTTTTTTCCTTTTTCTTTTTTTTCTTTTTTTTTTTGCAGGCCCCCTTTTTGTTTCAAGTTCGCCAGAGTTCTCATTGCCATGGTTTTTTTTTAAATAATTACCGTTGAAACATCTGTCACGGTGATAAATTGAATTATATCTTCGCATAGATTAACTGACAGTTAAGCATTTTAGACACGTATCAGGGATTACCAACTGCACCCCCCCCCCCCAAAAAATAATCGCTGCACAAATATATATATATTTTTTATCCATAATTTACTTCAAAGATAGTGTGTTGTCCATTTTAAATACAAAAATGCTACATTAAATATACATGTTAGTCTTTAATACAAATAGACTCAGGCGGCTGCAGCGATTAAGACCATTCTTGTTACATTTTAAGATTAACCATTCAAAACTTAAAAAAAAAAACGAGGATAAGCATTTACTCAGAAAATAACTGTTCTCAGAATTTGCTTCACCGTTGCTCTTTTTTCTTATCTTTTTTTTAATGCAACCAAAATAAATAAATGTCCGTAGTGAGTGGAAAATATTCAGGTATTAAATGTTCGACATACCTTTCTTTAGTTCATAAGGGGATTCTTTACAAAGATCTACCTGCGTTTGGCCTCTGACTTTCTGGCTCTCCCTTACCAAAGCCTCAGCTCTATTTAACACAGTCTGGTTTAATCCATTGAAATGTGCCGTGGAGCCCGTGGTTACCGAGCCGTGGTTACTGTGAAGGTGTCCAAAACTGCCACCATAGTTCGTGTAGCCAGGGTAGAAAGCGGAGGTGTAGTACAGAGGCCTGGATAGGACTGTGCTGTTGGGGAGCGGGCACTGAGGGGATGATCGTGATGGAGAAGCGCTAGTGCCTATTACAGTGCTCTGACCCAAACCAGGGCAAGACTGTGACACCTCGCCGCTGCCCTTACACCTGTCTGAGGACGTGGCGATTTCCGCAAGGGACCAGAGTTTGGGTTTAGGAGCAGAGGGGGGCGAGTGGATAACAGAGGTCACGTTGCTGGTGACCGTACCCGATGCATGGCTCAAATCTGACGGCTTGTCTTGTTGCGCAAGCTGGTTCCCCCGGGGCATCGCTGAAGGAGACGACGTGGTTGGTTTCGCAGAATCCGGCAACAACTCTGTAGTCCGCTCCTCCTGGTCTTTTAACTCCGTGTCACTCAGAAGGTGATCCGTGTCTTTGCTATGGTTTTCTTCTTTAAATCTGTCACAGCCTATGTCCCCTGGGTTAAGAAGTTTGTGATCTAAAGCACACACACACACACACACACACACACACACACACACACACACACACACACAAGGAGACCACAGTTACTTCCAAATAAGCATTAAAATGTTCGTAAAACTCTAGCATGTGTTTCAGATGATTATCAAGCAATTAAACACAGATGCAAACTGAAAGTGGGTGTGCAAAAAAATATTTGGGTACCTTTGCACGTTTCTCTTGCAAATTATAATTGTGCTATAAAATGTTCTCATAAACATGTAAAAGCCTAAAAAGGAAAATGAACTCCCCTCCATAATTATGACTTATGAGTTTATTAAAGTCTGAGCATTCACTACACCGATTAAATGTATTTCAAGTATCAAAATAGCTTTTGCGATGATAAGAAGCGTTTGTACAACTGTAGCCGAATACCAGCTCAATTCACCGGCTGCAGCCTTATTATGCAGTTAAAGATAAATTGACTGCTAAATACTTTGCGTCACCAGCAATTTCAGCCACTGAGAAGTCAAACGAGGGGAGTTCAAGGTGATTATTATTTAAAGCAATTGTCCCATTATAAATAATATACAACCATTAACCAGCAATCAATTTTGCACCCTGAGTGGAAAGACTGCGATGAAAAATTGATGATTTTTTTTGCCCCCTTTTTTTTCTGCACCACCGACCTGCTTCCGTGTCTGTGGAGTCTCCCTTATCTGTGGGCTTGTTTGGCTCGTCGTCGTCGTTTTTCTCCAGGTCGATATTTTCGTCCTCCTCCTCGTCCTCGCTCCGGTTCCGAGGAGTCCAGGTCATTTTGTTCTCCTTCTTTAGCCTCCTCCTGGCGTTGGCGAACCAGGTTGACACCTGGGTGAGGGTCATTTTGGTGATGATAGCCAGCATTATCTTTTCGCCCTTGGTAGGGTAGGGATTTTTGCGGTGCTCGTTGAGCCAGGCCTTCAGGGTGGCGGTGGCGTCCCGGGTTGCATTTTTACGGTATGCTGGATCACCGTAAGGGTAGGTGCCCAAGGGTGCTGCGTAAGGATGGTATCCTATTGAGCCCGCCATGCCCGTAGTGTGGTCATAGGGAGAACTCTGTAATAAAAAACGAGAAAGTGTGCAAAAGTTCTGTTATTCTTTAAACTGCTGCAAAATACTTAGAAGGACTTGCGGCACACAAACGTAAACACACGTGCACGACTCCACACATAAACACGCGTACGAATGGTCACGCAAGCACATACTCGTAATCGCGCAAGGGTGCACTGGCTTTAATCCAGCGGTTCGAGTATGGAGTCAATGTTTATGGAATGGTTTTGAACTTAATTGGATATTTGAAATGGGATTCGTGCTTCGGTGTTATTTATTTACTTATTTTTATTCTATTTTAATTTTTGTTTTCTTCACGTTAACGCGATGTGATTATTGCTGTTGCTACTGAAATAGAACATTTTCCAAATAGAATAACATAAAACATTATTCTTTTTCCTTGCCTGTTAAACAGCGATCAATCTTTAAGCAGTAGCAAATGGGCCTATAAAACAAATATGAATTACTTACGTGGTAAGAGATCGCTCACAGGGAATAGGAGACAATTAAATAAAATTGTTTTTAGCCTTTTTAGTTTTACTATTTAAGTTTTATATTTGGACCAACTAATGGACTTACAAGAAAGAAACGCAGCGATGTAAGCTGCCGTCCGTTTCGTTCGGTCAGGAAGCTTAGAAGCTTCGGCAAGACATTGTCTAATCTATTTAAAACGACTATTAATTTCAAAGCCACAACAGTACACGACCTTTTTTAGATTAGTTACATTTACTCAGGAGTATCTTTTCTGGACATGAAAATCTCTACTTTTCTATCCACGTACTTTTCTGTGACGCACATTTCTTCTCAATGGCTTGATTCCGACTGCGCAACACACACCTTAGGCTTCTATAACGAGTTAATTCCCCTCGCTTTTGCTACCTATTAGACTGAATAATCACCTTTAGTGTACTCACCACATATGAGGTGAACGTGGCAGCTGCCGCCGCGTCTGCATTATATGGCAAGTGGGAGTTGTAGCCTGGCGAGGCGCTGGTGAACGCGGTAGATCCGGCATATGGCGCAAACGCAGATCCCGAAGAGGATCTCCCAAGTTCCTCGGTTCTGGGTCCCGATATAACACTGGTGCTGTACGCGGGGCACGAATACAGGGCTAATGAAGCGGACGGCTGGTACAAGTAGCCCTGAGGATATGCCATGCTGGAGTCTGGAGAGTATAAGCCACTTAACTTGTGCACTTTCCCCCCTTTATTTTCTCATGCGCTGATGTCGGAGCGCATAGAGCTGTATCTGCAGCCCGCTGTCTCCCCCCTTCTAAATGGCAATTGTCAAGGCAAAAAGTATTTTTTTAGATGAAAATAAGCTTGGATATTGGGTGGATTTTTTGGTCGCTGCCAGTCAGCCAGTCAGCCACTGTCCGCCGGAGGTTTGGTCTTGTTTTGTTTTCTGCTGCTCCCTTATCGGAGTTGAATCCTCGCTCTCATGCCCATGCAGAAGTTTTTATTATTATTTTTTTCTTTGCCAGTCGGACGGGGGCTTTGCTTGGGAAAATGTCCTGCCAAGATGCTAAGTTGGAAATTGAGGATCCTGACGCCTACTACGCTGCACTCTACGCTCCTCCTCTCGGGGTGTAGTCACAGAAGGAAAAGGCAAGCTTATGCTGGGTAACCACAACTCTGCCCAAACCCATGGTCTCTCTCTCTCTCTCTCTCTCTCTCTCTCCCTCTCTCTCTTCTCTCTAACACCCCCTCCTTTCCGTTGCGTTAACTAACAACCCTTCTCATTCTCTATTTCTCTATTTTTTCTTCTTTAACAAGGCTTGTTGCTGTAAGTGCGCCTTGCAGCCCCCCCTTTGGATGGCGACACCATGCGAGTCTGTCAACTCCCAACTTTCTTCTTTTTCTTCCAAATAGGAAGCCGTCACTTTCACACTTGATCAATAACAAGTCGGCTGTTGTATGCCAGGATATGGGCTCGCAAGATACCGGCAGGAATTAAAAAAGACGGTCCACCGCAGTGCTCTCTTTTTTGTTATTCTTTCTTTGTGCTTAAAAACGTCCTCATTTCACATATTTGCGTTAAATCAACAGACTGACGCCACGCGATCTCCGTGCGCCTTGCATTAAAATCGGCAGTTGGGGTTTCAAATGGATTACTACAGTTGTGCAAGTCGACTTTCTAACGCACGACGATTGTTGCATTGGTAAGACAGTATAGCCTGTGACAAAAGTAAAAGTAAGATGGCGCAAATTGTCCTCGAGCGACAACTGTGTGAGAATAGTTTTGTAGGTGAGAATTATTATTATTTTTTATCATGTCGACGGTTTTATGTTTTAATTGTGAACGCATGGTCGTCCACTCCGTGATCACGGCTATTTGCTTATTTTATTGTATTTTTTTGCAAATTATCCTGAAATGAACCAGTCGGATAAGCTACACTGCCAGAAACTCATGAACCTTCAAACCAGGGCAGAACAGTACCAAGTGCACCGAATCTCACCGGACAAACTCATTTGATCGCTGTAGATGCATTTCTGTTCCTGAAAACAGATAAACGGTGTTAAATGTACCGCTTTTATTGTTAATTAGTTAAATATATTTAAATACATTTAATAAAGATAAGTCCAGGCATCATTATTAAAATATAATAATTAACGGTCATTATTATTATTATAATTATTATTGGGACATAAATGTCGTTCTTTCACAAGTATGGAATACTAACTTGGATTCAAAATATGAGCTGAATTTTATTATTTTGTTTAGTATGTTTCAAACATCTAAAAGCCCATTCTCATTCTGGTGACTTTCCAGTTCAAGTCTCAGATAAGCCGAAAGGGATCGCTGTAGGCGCTGCTAAAGAGTGTGTGTGCACATATTGTCACGTGTTTCTTACGTTCCGAAAACCTCTAGAGAGCAAAGAATGATGACGGTGGTACAGTGGGAGAAGACTCAGACTTACGAGGGAGAGAAAGAGGGGAAAAAGAGAAAGATGGATGCACAAAGCGATCCTACAGTAGCCTAATCAGATGACAGTGATACCATGAGCCCTAGTTTCACAGCGCCCTGTAGTGATTAGACACTCAAGTAATTATTGAAACTTTTCTCATAATAACAGATGGTACTAATATACATATATATATATGTATTCGTTTTTTTAATTTACGTTAAAGTTAAAATAAAGCAGCAGTGTTAAACAGCCTCCTTAGACGTAAATGTATTTAATAGTGGAGTGATTGTGTGCCACTAGCTATAAAATTCCCATAACTGGAATATTGTGCCTTGTGGGTTGTTTCATCCCGAAATATTTACTTATCTATTTATTTCATAAGATATAGGGGAAAAAAGTTTTGAGGGCCTAGGATGAAGGGTCTGTGTCATGTGTCCTCCTTAATGCGTTCTGGTTCAGAGTTGCTCTCTGAAGTATAGGAGGAGGACCCATAATTTGAGATCACGGAGCCTATAATAGGAGTAGGGTTATGGCAACTGCTACCGCCTCTCAGCACTGCTCCGATAAAGGAGGAGGTATAGGTGAGTACAGTTTTGTTCATTTGTGTGTGTTTTTTAATGCGAAAAGGTATTTGAACTACGCAAATGTTCGCAATATTCTGGGTTTAATCTTCATTTATATTTTAATTATTCTGATATTATCTGACTTTGTCTCTTCCTATTCGCTATCACTTCTTCTTCCTCTTTCCCCCCTGAGTGAACTGCCTCCGTTTTGACGCATGGAAACGTTTTTAAGTGGCAAAGAAGAATTGAATGAAAGATGATGCATGCCACTTAAAATGCCTGAGGGAGCAAGCGTAATCTAAATTGGATATAGAAGCTATTATTACACAACATTATGCGTTGTGGCGGACTAATTGCGTGGCTGGGTGCGTTAAACAGTCAGTTAATGTCGAGTGGCAGACAGGTTTCTGGAGCGCACAAGGTCAGCTGTACTGCTCCCAAGCCTTTAGTGGTATACAGAAAAATGCTTGAAGTATTCATGGGATTTTTAACCATTCTAAATCTGTGTCCTAAACCGATTAGTTGACACCAATTTTTCTTTGATGTATTAGCTGAGGGCTTTTGCCACTTGGAAGCCAATTGAAATTCAAAACAGTTTTCGCTCCAAATGCTGTGGGGAGATCTGCTGCAAATAATGGATGTAATTTATTTTTGACCTTGCTTTTTTTTTTTTTTTTTTTTTCTCAAAAGGGAGGGTTGTTAAATGATTAAACATATGTGCACTAACTCTCGACTAAACAACTAGCATTTGATTGGCTATTATTAGTTTTGCATTATAGAGCTGTAAATTTCCATATTTCTTAAAGTGTTATATAAGTGATAAGCATGACTAAAATTGTTATTCCTTTTTTTAATGCCCAATTCACTCTTAAAAAGTTGCTGTTCTTGGTGTTATTTTTCCTAAATGAATTAAAAAAATAATAATTGACTCTTTGTTTTTGTTTTTGAATCCCAGATCCATGTTGATGAAGTCACCAAGCAGTCAGTGAAATGCACCCTAACCTTCAAACACACAAGCACACTTGCAAATACACCTTAAGTTAAATAACCTTTTTCACATTTTGAAACGATAATTAAAAAACACAGGTGGATATATACTCAAAAAGTCAGTTCTGTGTTTATAGAACTGTAATAATTTATCCATTTTTTAACTCTCTTATAGTTGTTAAATATGCTGCATTGCTGCTATTCCTGTTTTTTTTTAATTCGAGATAGAATCCCTTAATGTTTTACTTAGTATCACCACTTTTCCTCACACAAACTGATGCCCATGATTCGATGGGTTGATTTGACTTTAATAATTATACAATTTACATGAAGCACAATAATATGGCTTTCAGGGGAGAGAATCTATTTTTTGATCTCCTTTCTGTTCTTGTGATCTCTTTTTCTTTTATTGACCTGAATGAAGATGTATGGAGTGAGAGTGTGTGTGTGTCTTCGGTTTCCTCCTGATGGGGTATATCAGCTCCCCCCTCTTCTCCCTACTCCCCACGATCCCCGCAAGGCTGAATGGCAGGCCTCTGGATTGGCTAAGTGATGAAATGATGACCCTATTATGGGAAGCGATTCCAAAATGAGAGATATCAGACGAAGATTACACCCCTCTCTCACTGCCACGCCATCCTCCTGCAATACACTGCCAGCTGCGCAGATGATGATTGATTCGCTTGAGATGGATCACAGGAAGCACCCATTGATTTTTCTGTGTTTTATCAAAAATATTTATTTACAGTTGTATCCATAGGGTGTATCCAGACTCAACCCATACTTCGTTCTCCAAATGGGGGTTGGTATAAAAGAGATAATTCCCCCTGTTCCATGACAAGACGAATGACCTGAAGTATTACTTCAGAAATGAGTCAATAGGCTCAGTGAGTAAATGAATATTGATTGGATATAATGAAGCCTGAGTGTGAATATGAGCCCTGTTGCAGACTTCACTGCAGTGATGCTGAACCTCTCCAACTGAATATTTTGCAGACCTGCATGCACAGCTGGGACTAAATACACCTCATTCAGATGGTGAATCAACACACTCAACATTCAACTTTTCCTGTGTATTTTGATTCATGATCTGAGAGTGTCCATACTTGACTCGCTTCTTATCAGATCTATGGCTAAATAGCATGTTTATGGTGAAGGTACTATAGGTGCCATATGGCAATAATCCAAGACTCATGTTACTTAAAAGCTCTGGAGACATGTAGGAGGCATTTCTGTGTCACCTTTACAAAGGTAAACTGATACAACATACAAATCAAATGACAACTAGAATGCTAAAACCACAGTGTGGGAGCTGTGCCCTAGATATTTGCACTGACTTAATCCAATTGAAATAGTATGAGTGAGTTGCAGGGGCTCCCAGGTCTGTTGCTTGCTTATGTATGTGATGCATAATAGAAGTTGACGAGGTTGGTGATAGATCACAGCCCAGGTAATGTAAACACATTAATCCCTCAGGGTTCATGTGCATGTTCTTTCTCTCCTTTTCTCTTATATCAGTTCCTCTCTCTCTATCTGTCTTTCTCTTTCTCTCTCTTCAAGCCCCCATCCTCCCCCCTCCACGTTCATCATCTTCCCTAAACGCGTTAGTGGAGCACAAACCAGAAGCAGCCTTAATCTGTCAACATGCCCTTTAATTGGAGGGAGAAAACAACACGTGCTTCTGGTTATGCCATTCCTAAGTGCACATGCCAAAGAAACACAGAGTTCATGGAAGAAGTGATCCCGGGAGAGCAGGGCATAATTAAAAGTATCTTTTAATAGGCTTGTAATGCTGAGCCTGACTCTTGTTGCTTTAAGTAGAGGGCGAACTCTGTGGCTGGAGACGGACATGCAAGGGGCTTCTGCTGAGGGAGCCTGTAAACGATACATTGCCTCGTCGTCATCAGACATGCAGTCTCTGCCTCAGTCACCACACTCGAGATGACAGCCACTTTCCACCCCTGCCGCGGACACCTTGGCTTACCCGTTGCCGTGTTCTTTTGTTCTCAGAATGAGAGATTCTCCTCCACGACATCACCTCTCCTCATCTCCTTCCCAGCCACTTTGGCAAGTTGTGTTCTACCTCCTACTCACAGCACCAGCGGGGAGTGAGAACTGGGACTAAGAGGTTGATTTGGGGCCTGCTACACTG